GCTAAATACTGGTGAACAGCATTTCGAATAATTGCGAACGGTTACCTACTTTTTGTTAAGAAAAAAACTAATTCGATCTTCTCTGACATACTTTTGGGTAAATGTCAAAATCAATTTTCTTAACGACCNGAGATTTTAGTTATTGCAATTGCACAAAAAGCTGACTAAATCAAGCCAGAACTGTACAGAACTGCCTTTCACTGTCGCTATGGGTCATGACAAGTTGTTTGAACTTCCAACATGGCTTCCCTTGGGATCGATGCAGCTTCTACAATGCCGGTGAAACTCGTCCGAGGATATACACGGGCCAATCTTGGAGCCTTTATAATTCCCTAACTAGGCCATTTTCCGACCTAATAGTGTCAGATATTTTATACGCGGGGGCCTCATGAGCAGGATGTGTCACTGATCGGTTGAATGGGGTAGGCAAAGCTCAAAAAATCTGTTTGTTTCATTTTGCCCTGTGAGCCCAATTAGCTGATGGTTTCGGGTCCCTGTCAACTTGGAATTCTCTTCATTGACTTGTTTACCGTCAGCTACTTGTTTATGGCGCTGTTTCATTCTTTAGGTATGCATGCAATTTGACGCTAGGGTATGCCGATTTGAAATGGCGACGTATCGGCCGAAAGTTCGTGCACACCTCCGGCTTGGTGATCATCGTCATATGCTTGGCGCTTGTCATCATTGCTTATTCACTGGGTACGTCTCTTCCTACTTTCTGGACATTAAGCGTACTAGGAAAATGAGACTACTGATCAGTGGCGGCCATATTTGTAGGGAATGACCCCTGAATACTGCCTACTTCTTTACGAACTTTCGTGGAGGTCAATTCAAAACTTAATCAGAAAAAACTTCAACCAAAATCGGAATATCGCTGACCACTGACCATTCCCCTTCGTAGCCAATTTATTTAGAAGTGAAAAAAATGCCAGCTTTTTCAGATCCTAGAGATTTAGACTGGCTGATCCAGTTTGCGTTTTGAAATCAAAATTCTGATCGATTTTAACAAGCACGTGACAGGGCCGTCTATGGCCTTGAGAAAGCCCAAGATTTATGTGAATGAGTTCGATGGATACGATGCTGCGCACTTTGTCCATTTCTCGTTTAGATCTCAATCATGCTCTCAAAGAAGAAATTCGGGTTTTCATACTCTTAGCAAGTTCAATGACGTCACAGGTCAGGTACCATCACCATTCGCTACCAATTCCATTCTGTTCAGGATTTCTGCTTAGAAAATAACACGAAAAGTAGTAGATGATAGTTAGTAGTAGATGATATAAGTAGAAGGCTGAAGCTATTCGGCTCTAATTCTGTTTTGGTGCACATCCACCACTTCTCTCCTGGATCTGATAAATGGAAGGTCTGCTTGGCCTAGGCTAGTATCGAACCAGAATTTGATCCTCGAACAACGCGTGTGGTAGCGAGCTAATTGACACCATATGGGCGTGATCCAGTAATAACGACAACACCCACTAAATGGATTAATGCCTCAGAGGATAAGGTCTTTTGGTGTTAATCGATCCCGTCTGAGGAATGCGCCCCGCATTCTACTTACCTTCAGAATCGTACTGGCGTAATGAATGAAGATACGGCCCATACAATGACTTGTAGTGGATAGCCGATGTACAAGTCAGTGTTTTTATCCTCCCAGGTGAGTCTGGTACCAAATGACCGACCCAGGAGGGATTGATAGCTTGGTTTGCCTGGCCGGATACCGATCCGGGTTTCGAACCTGTGACCAACCCATACGCGTGGGTGGTAGTGCGCCACTTGCCACTGCACCACCTCCGGAAGGGATTCTTCTATTGTAAGGAGTTGTACTTTCATGCTGACTTCAGAATGTGTGGGTACTGCACATACAGAATTTGTAGAGGTTCTATGATGCCCAGTTTGTGAACTTGATAGACCTATCAAAAAGTAAATAAACTAGGAGGAGAGAAGGATTTTGTTAACAAGGACACGTTCACATTAGAAAGTTTAGCATGCACCTGACCTAAAAGCACCAGGGCCCTGAAAGGAACATGAGGCACAGGCTTTTCATTTATTCAACTTTTCAGGATTCCAGCAATCCATAAAAGATCAAAAAATTTCTTCACTTTAGATCTACATTTCCTCGGGAATCGTTGGTAATGAGCTGTTTCCGACCCCCGTCCGCACTCTTGGCTATTCATTCCTTCAGCTCTGGAACAGAGTTGGCGTCGTTCTTTCGCCATTCGTCTTCTATTCGGTGAGGCATTAGTGTTGAAAAATGAGAAGCGACAGCAGAGAACATCGTCGATCGGCTCGCTAAATACTGGTGAACAGCATTTCGAATAATTGCGAAGAGTTACCTACTTCTTGTCAAGAAAAGAAATTAATTCGATCTCTTCTGACATACTTTCGAGTATATGTCAAAACCAATTTTCTTAACGACCTGAATTGCCGAATTGACTGAGCGCTCCGGATAGTTGTTTCAATTTCCCAATTAAACAAAGTCCAAAAAGTGACTGAGATTCACTAAACTCTTTAGCGAGCAATGCCACTCTCGTGCTCAACATTCTTATTCACACAGCTATATGTCAATGTTGGAACCTACACAATGACCTTTGACCCCTGGAAAGACCGATGAACAATGCTTCCTCCCATCACGCAGTAAAGCCCTATCCTAAAAACAACGGATTCGAAAACAGCATATGAAAGAATTTTGCAAGCATATAAGGATAAAGTTCCGTGGCGTCAATCATTCCTGTGTGAGGGATGCGCCTCGCAATCTACTTCCATTCAAAATCGTAGTGGCGTAATGGATGCGTATGTGGTCTATACAATGACTTGCGGTGGCGAGCCGATGCACAATTCAGTGCTTTTATCCTCCCAGACGAGTCTGGCACCAATTAACGGACCCCGGAGGGATGCTACACTTGGTTGGCCTGGGCGGATATCGATCCGGGATTCGGACCCGTGGCCATGCGTATGGGATAGTGCGTCACTTGCCACTAGACCACAACCACTCTTTGCAAGTATGTATGTTACAATAAATACAGTACATACGTAGGTATATAGGCTTTTTACGTCTCAACTATTACTGGTACCCGGAAAGATGTTTTACGGTGACTTTTCATTCGAAAAGATGAGCGCTAACGAGGAAAATGACCTCGGAGCCTAGATAAAGTTCAATCTTATTTGCAATGCAATCATAGGCACTACATCCGGGTCATCCTCCCCACCACATAAAAGACGATAGCTGATGGATTTCTTCCTTTGCAGGAAAGACCAAATAGGCCGCATGAAAGCATTTGGGGAACCTTTCTCCCACAACTTTTTCACATAGTATCCAATAGAGAGGAAGTCTCTTTTCCGCTAGTTTTGGGAGCACTATAGATTCTGTCCGCAACCTCTCATCTCTCACCAACAGCCGGTATTTTGCTTTTTCTTTCAAAATCTCAGCCCTCGGAGACTTATGACAAGAATTGTCAGCCCACCATTGTACTCCTTTAGGATTTCTTCCCGAATTGTCTCAGCCCTACCCCTAATTTAATGGTACTATACCGACCCCAACTCTTCAACGTAGATCTTGTCGCGCGGTCATGTTGCGTCATTTGGGTCTGATGTAAGTGTTACAGGAACAGCCAATAGAAACAAAAACGATGACGAAGAGAATGGCTTCGCAATCAAAAAACAGATCTAAACAGCTTCCATAGCAATAAAGAAGAGATAAAGGGAGAAAAAGCGTACGACTTATTGTCCGTAATAAACAAGTAAGCCATGATGAAGCACCGATTCCGCACACCCAGGGAACGATTTTACACCTCAGCAGTTTCTCCAGCAAGATAGGATCCTTCTCAAAAACTGTTTGGTAACTGCCTGAAGACCCCTGCCTTTCTTGCGGCATTCCACTAAGGCGTTACTATCGATGGCAGGGAGGAGCCACATAGCTTTATAGAAAATTACCACGAGCAGGGGTCTAGATGGAGACGGCATGGACCCTCTTAGAATCTGCTGAAAAAAAGGTTTAGTAACACGAAAAGCAGATCTGTTGAATTTTCAAAATCATCTCCGTCTGGGAGACGGGCGTTAGGAACGATTTTGGGTAATCGATTTACCGCACGCGGCTGTCGCGGACCACTCATTCGCCGTTATTACAGCTCTGGCGTTCTTCATACAGCTCAATCGATATGCCATCATTGTTTTATGCATAATTCTACTATTAGTACTTTTGTTCTTGCATTTCTTACCTACTGCTGCATCCTGCTACATTCCTTCGCGCGCGACGCCCCTCTCACCGCGACGCGACCATTTCGTTCCTAACGCACCACACCCCTTTTGCAACTATTGGCATTGACCTCGAATAAAGTAGGACTCCTATAGAACAGCACTGTCTTCTCATGAGAATCGCTATGTTGAGGGCCCTGTGTGACCGTGTACTTCGCAGTTATTTCAGAAATGAATGGCTCAAGCTAGGAACAAAACCTCTTTTAATACCATATAAGGATTTGAAAACATGAGCTTCCAATAGAGCAAAGCTCATATTTTTTATATAACTGTAAATGTGAATGCTAATGTCTTGTCACCCCTACAATCAGCCAGAAATCACTGCTCATTCCTATTTCCAAGCCAACGTCGGTCTGCGATCGACGCAATCTCCAAAAAAAAAAAAATGTTGCCAGCTAGGCAGTCAGTCCAGACACAAACATTGGCCATACATTCTAATCCAAGACGATGATTAGATAGTACTGACGAGTCAGTGAGACAAGATAGGTGTAGCTCCAGCCGCTTACAAAAACTGGATGCTTCCAGCCCCAGATTTTACAAAACTGCCCAAATTAGAAAGTATGTAAGGTTCTACATCTATGTTGCAAAACTTAACCGAGACTAGTAAGCTTTCAAAAACTAGTAATCAAACACGGTAATGTCCTTTTTGGAAAGTACGACCGACAAGGCTGAGCCAGTAAAGATTGCTCCCACTCAGGAAACAGCGACAACATTAACAACGGAACCTAAACTGACCACTACAGAAAATCAAACTGAACACTGTGATTTCAGATGGATCTATGGATTGCACTACCGTATTGCATTATGAGTGTATTCTGTTTGATTGATGCACTCGCATTCGAATGTCTACTTCCCGAAACCAAAGGAAAACATCTTATCGAGCATATGCCTAAACGTGAAGAAAGGCTACTGGGAGGTTCAAATCTTACGCCAGCTTTTTTTTCACTTTCAAGTAAAACTCTATAAGAATAAGATCATGTTTTAGGGCGGAAGTATCGTCAAAGAGAGGAAAATTCGGAAATACTGGTAGCTCCACCAATCACGGATCTGCCGGCATAAATCAGAGAAATCGGAGTAAACAAAGTGACAAAACAAAATAAAAGTATATCTCAGATTTATTACGCATTTCAATAACATCTTCAATTTTCCCCAAAGAAAATCCAGAACGTTGTTCTTCGCAACGATCAACTTTGGAAAAGAAAGGAGAAATCACATATAGCGATGCACATTTTGAGACTAAAAAGATCGATCCACTATAAAAACTACGTGTACTTACAGCAAATGATGGTAACACGAAAAAAAAAACGGATGAAATACAAGGAAAAAAGGCAGCGGACTCATATCTGAAGAGAGGTGCGAGGCAACAAGAAAATATCAGCTTTAAAATATCCATGAGACGCGGGCCTATCCGAAAAGAGGAAAATGCAGCAAACTAAGCTATCAAAATTTCAAAGAACAAAACGAAACGAAACACAAAAAATAAACGAGCAAAAGCAAAATAAGAAAACGTTTGACGATGTTCGTCAAATGAAAGCGTGCTTTAACAAATAAAAACACCTAGGGTACAAATAATATCGTCCTAACATACTCAACTAATCGAACATGAACGTTGTTTTCCGTTATTCAACACACATAACACAAAACTCAAACAACATGGATGAGTTACCATTAAGAATGAGAAAATAATGAAAGAGCTAGTAGCAGTAGAATCTGAGTACTAGTAAAGAACACAACGCTTCATCGATCGAAAGATGGGGTAGAACCTGTGTAAAGTCAATAAACTTTAAAGTATAGGTATGTACGTAGCTATGACATGTAATGTCTGTGCTAGGTACTCTATATATCCACCGAGATGGCTGCTGAAATGAAAAGGACAGCGAAGAAAATGATGAATGAAGGGGGATAGTAGTTGGTTTACAAAAACGCACACGTGTTAATCACATCTGAGGAAAGAAAAGACTTATCAAGTAGGCATTTGGGCTCAACTCGAACGGCGGCGTCTATCACAGATATGGAGAATCAATATTATGCGCGACATACATGGATAGTGAACTGAGTAGTATATATCCCCTTGTTTTGCTCGTCACGAATGACGAAGAATATCAGGCATAGATACAATTCGAAGAGATCGTAACAACGAAAGACGACGTTCTGGGCAGTGATGATGCAGGGCTCACCATTGACAGCGATTCACAGTGAACATTACCTTGGTCACAACATATTGGGCGTGTCCGAGCCAGTGGGCGTTGCTGAATCGTAAACGGTGTCGTTGTCCCGCACTTCTGTTTGCAGACGACACTGGTGCTCCAATGTGCCAGCTCCACAATCACAGAAGAATCTGCAAAGAGTAAGAGTTAATGAAGTCTGGTAACTCAAACGTAGTTCCGTCACCTTATATGTGAACGAAAAATAAGATGATAGAACGAGACAAAAAAATAGGCTAAAAAAAGTTTTTTTTCACTTGAGTGCCGTGATGGATTTTGTCTAATGATTTCATCCTCCACACTTCTACGATTTCTTTACATACCTCTATATTAATATAGAGGTCTGCAGTCTTTCGCTTAACCAGCCTTATTGGTATTGCTATTGCACTGACTAACAATTCAAAGTCTACTAAGTTCATATGACTTTCCACCACTGCGACTATACTTCTGGATCGTTGATGTAGTCCACCGCTCAATCTCAAAGACACGTGCAAAAATCTATAAATTCGATCGATATGGATCGATTGAAATCATCGGTTCCAACCCGTGTGAGTTCGAAATCTACTTCAAAAACGAGTTTGATCTTTTATCACCTACAATTTAAGAGCATTATTCTTTTACAACCGGTTGATCTGACGCATGCCTTGATCGTGCTGATATTGCTAATCCAACACACACCCTTTCATCGTCGTACCCTTATACAGCACCATAAATAAACTAGTCTGATTGGTGGTGGAGTGAAGCATAAAGCATATAGAACACTTTATGGTCCACGCGGATTGACTCAGTTTCTTCGCCAGGGCCTCATCATTCCGCATAATTCTCACTTACAAGTTTCACCGATCAACTGTAATTAAACTTTCGCAACCCACTTCTTTGGATAACCATTTTCATGCACATCCCAAAGCACTTCTCGCGTGCTCGTGCATTTCCAAGAAGCAGGCAAAGAATCGCATAATATATCTATGTATAAATAAACTGTACATCGACCTACCGATCATGACGAACGAATTCAACGGTATGCCCACGATGACAATTTTTGATACAGTTGATACAGATCGCATTGCGATCAGTGGTATTGCAGCTGACACATCTGTAATAAGGACATGATAGTTTGAAGAGAGAGAGGTACTTCTTGTACTTCTTCAAAACTAGGAATATCAAGAGCTTACCGGTAGAAGTCGTGCATCGGGAACGACGTGCAGCTGCTAATCTTGAATAGACACTGGCCTCGGCCTACAGCTCGCTCTACCGCGTTATGATTGTCGTAGATTTTGTTGTCGCGTAACACGGGTTTTACATCAGTAGCAAGGCACAGCCCTAGAAGAGAAGGCGAATGAAATCGGGAAAGAAAATCAGAACTTCGAAACAATTCTACAACCAAAGGAATAACAGCAAGCACCTCCAAATTTGTTGTGGAAAAGCTGATTCGCTTCCAAGGTTGCTGATGCGCCATTTGTAATTTCTACTCCAGCAGCTTTTCCCTCGAAAATTCGATTTCGACGAAGTGTAGGATTTGACTCGGTCGATATCAGCACTCCTGCTTGCGCATTGCGATAAATATCGTTGTCTTCAAGCAGGCCTAAATTGTATCGATTGAAAATCAGTAAATAGGAAATCAAGAAATACTTGTTGATGGAATGATATTTCATTGATAAAAGAGATCTAACTCGCCTCTTCCATTGTTGAAAATGCAAACTCCGCCATCGCGTCCATCGTAAATTTTGTTTCTTCGAAGTGTGGGATGACTGTCTGTCTTAATCCAAACGCCAGCCATAGCATTATCGAAAATTTCGTTATCTGAAGAAAATTGCAGTTTGAGGGACATACGCAAAAAAAAANAAAAAAAAAGATGACCGCTTTCACGCATACCTTCCAACATCCCTAAACCGCCGTTGTAAACCAATACACCGCCATTTTGACCACCCCAAATACGGTTTCTCGTAATTTTTGGATTTGAACCGGTTCTGAAAACACCAATTTTTAAAACTGTCACTAAAAAACCAGCCGAATTACTCACCGAATTTGAACACCGGAATAAAGATGATTAAATATGTCGTTCTCCTCCAGAAGACCGTGCCCATTGTCGTAGAAGTAAACGCCGACCTTAACATCACTTTTTCACCACGGTACATTCTGTAAAGTAGAATAATCGTTGCCATACCTGTTTTCCAGAATGGATTCTGTTCTTTCTCAAAATAGGGGAAGAACCTGTCGTAACCCAGATACCAGCAAGGGTGTTACCATAAACCTCATTCTCTTCAATGAGACCCTTTCCCTTCTCGTGCTGCAAGAGTTTCAACGATGGATTGACTTAACCAAAGTGAAGTTCAGTATGACATCAAGAGAATCGATAATTGGAGTAAGACACTTCTGCAGCAAAAAAAGAGGCAATTCATACCACATAAATTCCACCATGCAATCCATCATGTATTTTATTTAATCGCACAATCGGATCACTGCATGTTCGTATTTGAATACCGGCCAGTGCATTCCCATAAATGTTGTTATGTTCAATAAGACCCCGGCCTACAAAAGCACTTCATCAGTATAAAAGCGAAACTTCTGTGAATAAATATATGACCATTGTGGACCTACCGTCACCGAAGATATACACGCCTCCTTGTTGTCCAGCATAAATTTCGTTTTTTCGAATAGTAGGATCCGAACTGCCCGTGATCCAGATGCCAGCGAAAGCATTTGAGTATATACGATTTTCCATGAACCTTCCACGTCCTGGAAGCAATGAAAATTGTAAGTGGTGGCAAATATAATACGGAATACGGATCACAAACAGAATTCCAACTTGACTGGAGTATTATGATCTTTTTCTCACCCTTGAAATCCTAATCAATGAGATGTCACACGTCGGCACTATATTACTTTTAGACTTTGGCCCACCTAAGAGTCCCGAAATCTCGCAACCTTTGCTTGTAGGAAGTACCTTTATTTGGTGTAGGCCATCTATTTGAGTGTAGAAGACCAACTCATTGAGTCACCAGGACGGGAACGAACTCCAAATGGAGGCCATTGAAAAACACTTAATCTAGGTGCTACATACCGTACCAGTTTCCATACGCCTTCAACTTATTTGCCTAGTGTTGAAGTCAGATACAACTCCCATGTTCTCATTTCAGCCTCTCGAGCACCGCTCACAATCTATATGGTAATGTAGCCTACCCAGCCCATCCTTTTTACATGGATAGCAACTTGATAGATTGCAGCACTATTGAAATGTAAAAACGAATAATGACAGAATAAGTTGAATGAAGGCAATAAAAGAGTTGTTCCAACACGAACAATTACTCCTCAAAATAAATTCTTTATAAAAAACTTATGGTAGACAGATTGATCTCCAGTAAATTCTTCAGAACGAAAGGGTTCATTTTAAAAAAATGAAGTTGTTTCCGGGATGTCCGGGGTGGCACCGTGAAAAGACATGAGTTCGAATGTAACGAACAAAAAAGAACAATAAAAACCTTTCTCATGAATGTAGATTCCACCGGTTAGACCATGATGAACCTCGCAATGTACAACGGTTGGATTAGCGTTATTCTTGACCTCAATGCCGGAGATACGATTCGAATGAATGTTACATTTTTCGAAGTAACCCATGCCATATCTGAAATAAATCTCTCCGTACACGTGAGAATTCTTAGCATTTAAATGTAAAATTCATGTCAAGCTTTCCTGTTTGGACAAGATCTAAAGAAGATTTAATTACTATATCTTTAGTGTCTCAATGAATCTGTCCCTCAATAGACATCAGTACGGCATCTTTGTGTACTTATCAAACTAAAATATATACTAGAAAACTAGAAATAAAACATATATTAGAAAGGCAATAATAGCCAGTGCCATTTCCTTCAACAGACTTTCCATCTTTCTGATCGCCATGAAAACTTAGGCTAAATGGCTCGGGTTTTCCCAATGAATCTTTCCATATTTTCTTCCAACGATGTCAAGCTCTTATCCTCATAGCTAATTTTGAAGAGACCCGAACAAAAGAAGCCTTGATACGGTGGTGAATGGCCCAGGGTACTCTCGCCGTGTCCTGAATGTTATTGTATTGTGATTGGAAACAAGTGCAGTTTATAATCGCCTAAATTAAATTAAACTTCCCCACCATTGGCTAATTTAGGCCGGTCCTAAAGGAATGCTCGCTCCATAAACTAATCCACTCATAAGTACAACCACCTATCTGTGTAGGAGCCAAGCTGCCGAGCTAAATGATTCTGCAAATTTCTTCGCTGTACCCATCACTTCTGACAAGCGCCACTATTTCCTGGATATATGCCCAGGCCTATCGTTAGAAATTGGTGAAATGTTGAGATCCATTTCTTTTCAGTATTATTTCCGTACAATTTCCGACAAGTGCTACCAGCTGCAGAAAGTGATGTAGTGACAAGCATCGCACTATCTCACACGCATGGCCACGGGTTCAAATCCCGATCGGTATCCGCCTAAGCCAACAGTCTTCCATGCCTACTCTGTCAGTTAAACGGTACCATACTCGTCTGGAAGAATAAAATCACTGGCTTCCACATCGGCTGGCCAGCGCAAGTCATTGCATCGTTCAGACACGCATTCAATACAGCACTACGATTCTGCATCAAGACTGAATGAGAGAAAGGCATCCCTCAGACGGGAATGATTAAAGCCTCAAAGACTTCATCTTTTACCCCATACTCGAATCCATGACAGAACATATGACAAACACTAACACTCTCCACAACTTCAACGCCTCGTTCATGATCCTTCTTTTAATTGCTTCAGAATTGCATGCATAGAATAGGTAATAAATTATCTTTGAAATGAAAGCCTAGGGAATATCTTAAGTACAATAGATGACTCACTCGAATGTGAATACTCCGACATCTTTTCCATGATGAATGTGACACCTTCTGAAGAATGGATTCGCTTGATTCTTCACCCAGACCCCGGCTAACGAATTCCTGGCAATTTCACAGTCTTCGAATTGTCCCTGAAATAGTTTTTTTTTTCAAAAAAAAATCGAAGAATATATTCGAAGATGACAATAACTAACTTGAGCTCCATCCGTTATATAGATACCGACGTTTTCACAATCGGTGATTGTGCAATGCCTCACCTGAACAAATCAATTTCATACTCGAAACAATGGACCGCGAAAAAGTGCAATCAAGCGATTTCAGAAAAGAAGGTTTACTTTTGGGTTGGCTGCTGTTCGTTTCACACATACAGCTGCTCCTACAGAAGACGTGGAATTAATGTGACAGCGATCAATCAGCGGGGACGTCTCTTCCGTTACCTGAAAATGCGATTAACAAAAAGCCTTTTACGGAGGGAAAATGCAATCACTTGTAAGCGTAGTATGAGCATGATGTGAATTGACTTTCAGGAAATTTTTCAAGTCAAAGGTGGATCTTTACAAAATTCGAGCCCGAACCCGAGTTGCCATAAGAACCTTACGAACCTGTAGCGCATAGTGCTGTTGATGAGGGACTGCAGGAGGTGCTTTGTCTGGATTGAATCGTAGGGTTAAGTATCCGATATACGCGCCAGTCGATCCCTCTACGAGAGTTATCGTCGTATCGTCTCGCTGTTCAACCACAACTGCTTTATTGATCGGACATTGAGAGCCTAGAAGTAGGGTACTTATAACTTCATGCTTCACAATGATTTGTTTGAATCGATTGTCTTCGTAAGCTGTACAACACCACAGGGTGCGGATTTAGGTATCGATAAGTAAATAATTAAATAAAGAAATGAGTTTTTAGCAGAGATCAGGACAATTTTGGAGTGACATCGAACTCGTTCCCTCTTGAATGCCGTCATCAGCTGTCTCCTCATTTTCAAAAAGCGTCAAATTAGGAACTTCCAGGCGGAATATGAGATAAAGAGGAAAATTTTTTTTTCGAAAAACCTATTTAAATCTTCTCACACTTTTAGCCTATTGCTTAAAGTTATTATTTACATATACAAGTACTATATCAAGGTTTTGACCGCAAGAACTTGAAATGGCCGGAGTGGGAGGATCAACCATATCGCTTCTCCTTCTTTGAAGTTGTCCGTAACTGCTCCACTATTCGGCCGTATTGAATGATTGTACCCCATAGATAAGATCCCTCTCTCACCCTTTACAAAAACCATGCTTGTATTTCGCAAACAACAAATAAGGACGTCTTGCTTAAAGTTTCGGAAACCACGCGCTCCATCTTAGCGAAAAAACCAGGATTACTTAGCGGGTCACACCAAGGTCACAGTCCCGAGACGATCCGAGTGCGAACAAGGCCTTGACCTGATTTGAACAAGAAATCTATATAGAATGGAAAATGTGAGTTAGTGGTGATGGCTCATCTCTGGTGGATAATTTCGCCCACTGAAACAATTCCGAATAGAATTGCGTGACTCTGCCTCCGCCTAAAGGCGACAGGAGAGTCTAATCGACTCCACTAATCGCCACAGCACTTCAGTTCATCATAACATTGATCGATTCATCCATGCGAAATAAGTTACTGTCATCCAATTCGGTGGTTTTTGAGCACCACTTATATTTGACAATTACAGTCGCTAACCAAATCCACTACCAAGAAACGCTAGATATCAACTTCTGTTGGTGAATAATATGAAGCATCTGTAGCCAATAGATGCCTTCTTTCGGCTAGTTCCAGCGGAAACGTGCGCAATAAGAGGCGACAGGAATAGCAACGCGCAAACATTCGTTATTTGCGACCCTCGAACAGCCAAAATCGCAAGAATGACGAGAATGCTATATATATACGTATACATACAGTATACGTGTTACGTATATCATATAATTTGAAAATGTTATACATATTATATATCTCAGAAACCTATACAATCATATTTATAGGATTATATACATATCTAATGGATTCACCACCAAAAAAAAAATACAAAACTTAGTAAATCGAATTCAAAAACTTACTGGCACCGATTATCTGTATAGGGGTGCTGATCAAAATCGGCTCCGGGAAGTAATGCCCAGTATGCAGAAGAATCAACTTCTCACGTTCTGGTTCAGCATCAAGAAATCTGCAACGAGCACACTAGCAATAAGAAAAAGTAATCAATGAAAAACAACTAACTGAAGGGCTTGGGTAAGGGTTTCAAAATGCGGAATGTTCCTCCCAATGTGGCCTTCATAGATATGAACGTATCGAGGGCGAACATGAATAGCGTGCCGCTGAACAGTGCACAATACGATGAAATCAAACACCTTTATCTAAATATAATAAAAACGTACCAGCTGTCGAAAACTTTCCTTCCACGGGTTCAAGGTACCTCGCCACTTATGTGGTTCTCGTAACTCGAACTTCCCGTGAGTTGGATGGTACATGGGTACTGTATATTCGAATGCGCCTTGATACAATGTTTTCCTGAATGCAAATTACATGGACTTAAAGCGCTCATGAAGAAATGTACTGAATCAGATTGTCAAAACTCACCATAAATTAACATCATTAGATATCCGATAAAATCTACCGGACACTCCGGCGCAACGAGCCAGGTCTGCCTCATATAAATTCGAGAAAACCTAAAACGGGGGCGATCAATAAGGGCTTATAGTATAGGCATGAAGTGCATACCTTAAGAACTATTTCGTCGGGCAAACGATCAACGTAGCAAGAGCCATCAGTGGGAGGTTCCAAATAATCCGTTGTTATGCTACTAGAAAAGATTTACTACAAATATATGTCACATCCAAAAGTTCATTGTAAGGAACTAGAAGAGATTCATTCTTCTAGGTATACTAAGATGACTAATGTTGATGACAGAAAAAAGGGACTTCATATATGAAATAAAGTAGGAAAAAGCACTTTGTGGACCAAATAAGTGGCGTAAGCAGCTGGCACACTGTATCTACTAAAACTACGTACAAATTCAAGCAAGAATATGGTCTTACTTTTTTCGAGCTTCTCCTGGCGATTCAGGCTTGAATCGTTTACATGGTTGTACAGTCTACAAGGAAAACATATAGCCATATCGCTTCTTCAATACATATGCATACATCACTACATGAAAAGATGTTTAGATATATAAATTCACGCAATGTAGATGGTTTACATAAATTACGGACCAATTTTAATTCACCTAACCTACCCAAATATTATTGAACCTAACAATTACCCATACCATCCCTTCATTCTGCACATTTACCGGGTTCAATGTGCCTTCACTAATGCCATTGTGTTTGACGCTTCAATATTGAACGTCAAGGACGATAACTCATAAAAGTCATCGATTCCTTCGTAGATACTGTAGACGGAGATTACAAATCTTATCATTACTGCTCTTTCCTTCCTGCCCAAGAAAGATAAAGAGCAGCGAGTCTAGTTCATGGTAGCGGCCACAACCACAGACTGGGGTATTTTACAGGTAGACAAAAAGTGGGGGGAAACTGCCTAACATCAACATGGGATCTCACTAAAGAAGCGCGCTGGAAATCTAGGCGTCGACACAGCTTGTGTCGGGAACCAAGACTTGTCTATGATGACGCGATAACGTGCGAAACGATCATTCACGGGGACATAGATAAAACGGATTTTCAGTCACATGAACATACGCTTTTAAGCCGCAAACTACACGATTACGAGGCTGGAATGTTCATCTAGAGCGACACGTCCCCTTGTTTTGAGAGCCATAAAAAAGTGTGGAGCAAAAAAAAACAGACAATAAGAACATCAACTGCATAAAAAAAACACACCTCGTCAGCGGTAGCAGCTAAGCTGCTGGTTGCGCAACCCTCCTCATCTTTTTGTTGGATGGATCGACGCCGTCTTAAAGCATACCTAGAGCTAAAAACATCTTTCAACAAAATGAAATCAAGAGGGCACTTGTCTTACACAAAGCCTAGGTAATTTCCATATAGAAACGATCATTAACCTTCGTAAACACATGCCACCGCCCTCCTGCTGAGACGGTGTCGCGGCACGACCGACACATTCGTCCGCAGGCGACAATCCGTCCGCCATTTGCTGTCGTGGCGACGCTGGCGACGATTGCGACTTGCGACGTAATGAGGACGACGATTGTGTGTCTGAGGTGACGATAGCCAATTCGCTCTTCTGTGGTCCCTCTTTCAAACCACTTGTGCCTAACGATCCTCCTCGTTGACGTAGCACTAAAAATCGAAAACTCATCACCAGTTGGAATACCGTCGCCGCCAATTTAGCGTGCTCAGAGCAGATTTCGAAATGCAGAAAGTACGATAACACCCAAAATAGTACACCAAACTGATTCATGATGAGGAAGAATGCAAGACGTTCTAAGTGACACACTATGCCTAGTTCCTAGTTCTCAGTTTCCCTTTGATCTAACTGATCCCACTTGCTCTTCCCTTGGTTATTCCAATTTCTTAATGAAAGGCTTCTAATCCTAGCAATGTCGCGGGATACTTGTATGCAGATCATAAACCTGCCACATAATCGTCAAAAATAAACTTTCAGAGAAAAAAATGAGAGTAGGTAGATATGCAATCAATCAATAAATAATTGCGTATTTAATAGTGTAAACCCAAACAACATCTGACATTGCGATTTTCAATTACATGGGTGGTTGTAACATAAGTTTTTCTAACGATTTATCTTTTTAGAAAACGCCCACCTACAACTTATCACTCCCTGGTGAAACCGTGGAATTGAAAACTTCCATTTTACCTTAAAATTCTCAGGGAAGTCCAGCAGAAACATGTACCCCTAAACCAACATTGTGAGGAACCGGACCTTCTGGGCACATCAATACGAATATGCAGCTTGGGCTTATATCTATTCAGTTAATACTCAATGAAAGCTAATCGTATACACACCCACTTCTTGTCAGAAATAGAATCTACTAATCCTCGAGTAAAATAACTGAAAACACTCAGACTAATATGAAAAAGAGCGGCAACGATGACTCGTCGTCTGCGAGAAGCGGAATAACGAGTTCGATGTCTTGATTAAATAAAAGATTCAAGGGAATGAAACGGAGAATAACCGTCACTCTACGGATTTTGTCCTAGAATTCGAAGAAAAAAGTAGGTCTCATCCAGTTCAAAAAGGGTAATTGAAAGTTAACGGGCCACAAAGCAACTTAGAAACAGAAAGACAAACAAACTATGCAAAAAGATGATAAAGAAAAAGAAAATGACTGAATTGAATGCTAGGGTAGGACGCTCAAAGGACATAACAACAGGTGACCCACAACAAACAGAAACACATTCATTTATTTCACTTTTCAATTCTTGAAAACCACCTTCTCACCTACAGCAATCTGAAATGTTCACTTGCTATCCCAGCCTATACAGTCAACCATCAAGAAAAGTTGCTGAATATTCGGGGCCCAACCTTGTTCGAGATCGCCCGAGCATAATGACAGCCATTTCCACGCGAACGTGAAAAGGTCGAAGGACCCCACTCGGGCGCTGTTTCGTGCATTAACATATTACTTCTATTCTTCAGTCTTAGGAGCACAGGTCTTATGAAAACGCATACCTCATGCCTGAATATAACTATATCCTATCAACCATAAGGTAATGCTCTTACGTACGACGTACGACATTCTGTTCGACTATGGCGAGAATGCTCGATCAGGATAGGGTAGAGTAGGAGGAGGTCAAATGATAAAGTAAAATGGCTGTTATAAAAGTCGACTGAGAACAGAACATTAGCTGAATAAACTGCGCCGAAGCGGCTAGGCGAAAATGCTCGACCAGGATGTGGTACGTATCGATTCCATTCCATTCATCTGCCGCTTACCAACAAAGAAGGACCCTTTGAATTGCTAATTTGTTGAGCTACAAAGCAGAAACATTAAGAAGTAGGCGATAGTTAGGGAAGGAAGAGAGGAGAACAACGAAAAGGAATTTACTTGCAAGACGGCACGTATTAAGGGAAAAATGGATCTGAACTACATCGGAAATAGAGCGATGATGGTTGCTGGGCGATTTGTTTCAAGGCTTTGAGGATTGCCATAGAGGGCTCCCCCATCGATTTCCTCCCCTACTTAAGCCATGTCGTGCATTAGGTTATGCACATCATTGTGCTAGCGGCTGAAAACGGATATTGCTCTTTGAGGAGATATTTAGTAGCCTGGAAACCCATGAGATAATAAAGCTATCAAAAAAGTGCCGAGAACGGGCTTCAGCGTAGAACAGCAGTCGATACGTGAACACGGAAACAAAACAGCCATTAGTGCACTAGCAAGTGCGGATGATTATAAATTGAACAGAGGCTCAGAGTGATGTGGGGAAAATAAAGGGGAAGACCACCAGCAACAGCAGCACATCTTGGCCTCAAATTCGTTTATCGACGGGGCAAACTTCGTGACGGTCTGTGCGCGTGTGTGTCTGCGTGCGGGTGAGCGCCGCCGAATCTAGACCAAGTGGGGTTCGACGATTGATCGATCGCCAAGCGACGAAACACGCTCGGAGACCTGCCGATGGCGATCGATACGTGTCCGGAATCGAGCCTGGCACGATCGATGAGGCGATGAGCCTCCCAGAGATGATGTGGATCCAATTGAAAGGAAAAGTCGAAACAGAGCCAACGTGGAACGTCGAGGAGCAGCCAGCACTGTGCTGTCCTCACCATGCAGACACTGCCTGCCACCGCTCTATTGACACCGATTCACAGCGCAGCCAACGGCTTTGTAGGCCACCTTCACCGCTCTGAGAAAGGTTTCTAAGAGATGGAAAAGTCGAATACAACCTTTTCGCTTCAATTTTGTACTTGGGTCATCTATAATCGGATGACATTTGACAGAAAGTAAAGGATTAACAGACCGACATTATCAATCTTCTAGCGATGTACCATGCATTCGACTCCCATTCACTGTCATACACATTTGTAGATGGGGGCCGATTTAAGCAACGGGAGTGGGGGCCAACAGTTGTCCCAACTTAGTACAAAGGCGGAATTTAAACAGAAGTAGGAAAAGATCCCTTGCAGACTGGTCCTTTCCAAGTTATAGACCGTTTCTTTCCATTTTATCGGTCCCGCGAATGGATCGATTCACTAGGAATAGACTCACCAGAGAACCGGATGTAAGGAAAAGCAAGCTCTTTAGAATAAGTTTGAAGCCATGCTCAAGTTTCACTCGATTCTTTGAAATCTAGCCTTCGTTGGTTAGAATAACAACTTTTTGTTTTACAAATAGCAAAAAAAAAGAATTACATTCGAAGGGGTTACGACAGGCAATTTGTCAACGTAAGGCAGTACGTTCCACCATGCGCGGTCGGGTTGGGGATTGGGACGAGTTGGGGGAACTATCGAATGATATCTGCGCCCGCAGAGATTAATAAGTAGCAAGACCAGCGCTAAAGCTCTTGTGAGCTGACCAGTTTCCCCGTACGACATGTGAATCCGCCCTGTTTCATCGAGAAATGGAAATAGGCACGCGAGTGATGGATTAACGTAGATATGAGTGAACAAAATATGTAATGGAGATGAAAAAGAGGATAAGGATAGCCAAGTAGAACTGGATTTCTTTCCAATTGATACCTGTATTTGTTCTACCTACTGGTACCAGCCATTCCCCACGTGCTTGGAAGAAACCGTTCTGCTTTTCTATTGACAGAGTTCAAGAGGAATTTCAAGTGAGAAACAATCCCAAGCAGTCAACAAATATGTACCGCACCAAGATGATATGTACCGACTTTAGCTGGTAAATAGTCAACAATGGATCTGAGAATGTTATAGCAATATTTGCGTGACCCCAGTGGGACGTGAGGAGTCGTTAATGAGTGCCGAGCTGCCACGCGTGCCGCTCACCGCGTGGGGGTCAATCGTCGATAGAAGGACGTGGTGGATTGACCTGAAACCACAACAAGACGCCGTTCTGAGGGCGCGGCCATGCCTAGCAAAGCCTAGCAACACATGTGTGCCGTTCGGGCGGTTTGGATTAGCAGCACGTTGGAGAATACGGGGGTGCATGGAAACACTGCGAGAACGAACACTGGTTTTGGTGACGCTTGTAAACAA